CTAACCTTCAGCACATGAACATAATATCTCTTCCGGAGCTTTAGAATCTTACAGGGGTGTGGTGGATGGTGAAGGTGCACATACACTGTATACCAGCTGCTCAAAAATCTAAAATTATACTCAACACCAACTTTATCTCCACTGTTCAAATATTATCAGAGCTTGTGTCTTTCACTTTAAGAAAGAGGAATCAAATTCATACAAAAAATGCTTTGGTGTAACAGCAGCTTGCACCAGTTGGTAGACAGTTGTCTGCACAGATTGCCAGTAGGTGGATGTCTTAAAGGGATATTTTTTTGCCAGAAATAAGCCAATAAGGCACTCATAAGATGTTTAGTTAGGTCCATGCTCAGATTAGTTTCAAAGTGATTTGCTGAGGGTTGACTTGCTTTTTTGAGATGACTTTGCAGGGAAAAGGAACTCAAACATTAACTTGCACAGAATGTAGATAAGTGTGTTCAGTTTATTTTATCTGGGCTTGTACACAAGATCTGGATGATTATTCTGGTTAGATAAATATATAGTCTTATTAGTGATTTATTTATTTATACATACATTGTTTGTAGGAAAGTGAAATGTGAAAAAAAGTCTTTTAAAATCCTAAAATAAATCCTGTAGGAATTAGACCAAGCTTCTAGCAATGATAATAATGTTGCATATGTACATGTATAGAGACTGAAAGAAGTAAGACACCACATAGATCTCGGGTAAGATAAAAAAAAAACAACTCGTGTTGAGATTAAGAAAAATAAACTATTTTAACAAGAAACCAATGAGGGCCTCAGTCAGAGAGGTGACAAAGAATCCAAGGACTACTGACAGAAGTACAGAGTTTGCTGAGACAGCACATTTTGAATGACAACAGTCAGAGCTGCACTTGCTGGTCTGTGTCAGAGTACTGAGACACGTCACTGCTTGAAAAAAAACAGCATGACTCTGAGAGCAAAACATTTCTCTGATAAAATAAAAAATGTAACTCTGCAGCTGTAATCCAAAGGAGTCTGGAGGAAACAGACAGCTCACCACCAGTCTAACAACATCCCTGCCGTAAAGCGTGAAGGTGGCAGTCTCATGCTGTGGGTGCTCTTTTCAGCGCAGAGGGACACGGGACTTGTGAGGTCGGAGGAAGAAAGGCAGCTAAATGTGAAGCCTTGTGTTATAGTGACAGTTTGTGTTCCCACAGGACAGATACACAGTGGAGTCACTATGTTTATGGGTCCAAAGTCTCACTGATTAAATGAAGATCAGTTCTTGGCTTAGACTTAATTTGGGGTTAATGCACAATTATGGGGAATAACCGGATAAATGGTCAGCTCTGTAGCTTGGCCAGTGTTTGTGTTGTGAGATGGAAGTGCAGGAGCAGCTGATCGGAGAAAGTAAAATATACACTGATTAGTGAGTGGCTTTTGAGAGGATATAATGAGTGGAAAGTATTAATTTTATTTGACTGGAAGATGTGAACCTAGAGGGACTAACCTCTTGAATATTTCTCTTAGTTGATTTTATGAAAATTTGGGAATGGGGAAGAGCCAAGAGGTGGAGCTTAAATAATTAGATGAAATTAGTCAATGAACAAGAAGAATCAGCAGATTTAAGAATAAAATAGACTCCCCTGACTGCACTTAAGCTAAGCTCCATATCAAATCACAGCCCTTCCATATCACTGCAGTGGCTTCAGGACAAGAAAGTGACAGTCTTGGTATGACCTAGTAAAAGCCAGGTCTTAAATCCCTTTGGAAAATCTGTGGAAAAACTTCAATATAGCTGCTCACAGACGCTTCACTTTCAGCTTGACTGAACTGAAGTAACTGTGCTCTGAAAAAAATGGGACCAAATCCTATTCAGATGCTCCAGGCTGATACAGACTCAGAGGTGTTATTACTGCCAAAATTAATTTTCAAACCAGAGACTGGTGGGTGGTTAAAGCTAATATAGGTGGTTAAAGCTAATATGGATGTGATGTCTGCATTTTATTTTCAGTATGTCTTTAAAAGCAAGTCAAAAAACATTTTTGTGATAGCCTCCCTAAAAAAATAATCACCATATTCCATTTTAGAGATTATGCTGCAACATCATAAATTGTGAAGAAAGTTGAGGTGGCTGGATATTGTCCAAATGCACTGTATATCTTTTCAGCTTGCCACTGAGTGTGTCGAAATTCATTGCCAACTACAGTGGGAGAAATGCTCAGATGGGCTTCACTTGTAGCTTAATCCTAACAGAAATTGGTCGAAAGTGTGGGATTGCAGAAATGGAAAAGGGACACAGCACCAGGCCATATCTCTCCTCGGGCCAAATGAAAACTCAGAGTGATGCGTCAATCACAGGACTAGTCACAGTGACAGAGACAGTGAGGGAGAGAGTCCAACAGCCAAAAGAGCCAGCTGCCTGTAGGCCTTTCATGACGTGACCTTGTCAAGGTCAAGGCTGTTAATACTGAGTGACTTGAGTTTAAAATCCTGTAACAAGGATGTTACAGTAAAGAGAAGCCAAGAGACAGGACAGGGGGGCCCTTAATGATGACTGTTTGCGTTGTGTCAACACCTTTTTGAACATGGAAAATATGTTCTTATTTGGCAGTATGCATGAAGCTTCACTTACTGCAGCCAGTCATCTCTACACACACACACATACTTAAGTGTTTTTGTCACTGAGGAGGACTGTGTCCTGACTTACATTAATTCCTTGGAGACTTAGTCAAACCTTTACTAGAGTCACTACATCCTGAACACTAAGCTTTACCAGTAACCAAACCTTAATCATAAAATGTAATGGTTTATCTTAAGATGTTAAGCTTTTTGTCCGCAAATATAGTAGTGTCCCCATATTGTCACTGTGAGACCACGGTCCCCACAATATCATTAATACAAGAATACACATACGCACATTTGCAGATTTATTCTACACCTCACCTTTTGAACACTAATGATGCTATGGAACAGTGTTTTGATGATATTTTGTTTATATCTTGTGCTTTACCACCACACACACTGATCTACATGCACGCATGTGTACACGGGAGACAAGAAAACACCACAGGGTATGCTTAACCCTGAAATCGCCCCTGCAGCTGCACATTTTGGAAGAATGTTCTTATTGTCCAAAAAGTGTCCTTGCTCTCAAGGTCCTCACAAAGATAAATATGAAAGCGTGCACACACTCAGTCACACAGATGCATAAAGTTAAGCTCTCTATCTGTCACGGGATCTTGTGTCAACAGCAGGTGCACCTAATTCCCTATAGAGGGCAGCTGAATGACAGATATAAAAGGACAAACCTTAATTAATAGCCACACGTGATCCCTGGCAGTAGAATGGCTGGTATGTTGTATGGGAGATAACAGGCCACCGGGCTGATCAGCAGCAAGCTTCTAATGTTCAGGTGAGACTGACAGGTCCGCCTGCAGGTTGGGGGAGTGTGTCTGATACTGACAGACCAAATGTCAGTGCAAAAATGAAATTGCCTCTTGCGCTGCAGTGATTGTCGAGATATACGATGCGCTTAGTTGCCATCTGACATGCGGTAAATGCATCTTGTCATCTGTGACAGGGTGTTGTCACATAGGCAACTGGATCAGGACTTGTCATTAGGCTCGTAATATGGTACTCACCACTATACATACAACACATTCCACTAATATATAAGTGACAGCTGTGAAAATGCTGTGTGGCTAGATGTTAGGATCCTCCAACATGCACATGACAGGCCACTCAACAGTAAATAATGCTTGGATGCAGAGGTCTGTGTAATTAATTAAAACTGGGGACACAAAGCAGTGTGTTGCTACGTACACGAGAGGCTGTTTCCACAGAGAGTAATAAGATATTTGCTCTTTTGTCTTTTCAAGTGCATGTCATGTATTTCACTTGAAAGAGGTTGAGGATCACAGCCACTGTCTTCCACCTCTCAGTGTGCAACAGTGTGTTCTCCAACAAGCCATGTCTAATTTCCCCATCAGATTTGGAACAAAGAACACACTTGCGTGCCCTTGATTACCGGCGGGCCCGTAGATCATGTCCTTGCCGGCAATTAGAAATATGCATTATTTAGTGACAGGGAGCCCCTCCTTTTCATTATTCACCAACATCAAAAGGTGACAATAGAATGCAAGTTGGAGTTCACACACGCCAAATCATCGGGGGAAACTACCAAATGTGTTTATGCATTCACACAGGCGCATGCAAGATACAAATCTTGCAGATGTATTCACTCTCAACATCTAGCCTTGAGGCCCTTTCCCTGTGGCTTATGTAATGAAGTAGCAACAAAAACAAATGGATGTCTCTAAAGGATTGTGCTGCTATTTTTTTTTTGCACGTTTTAGCATATTTTCAAATCATTTATAGCCCACTTAAATTACTGCTAGCCCTTTTCCAATGCTTACTGTACCATAGCTTTTTGAAAGGACTGTCCTTCCTGCCAGGCACTTTGTGCTTTGCTCTTAAATGTCAGTGCTTTTTCAAAATAAAGAACCTTGAACCTTGATTTAGATCATCACGTGAAAGATCTTCAGTGTGATAGTTGTACATTTGTCAAAGTTATTGCTCTGTGACAAAGCAGTTACCATCCACTTCATTGCCCACATTAGATGTTTCTGGCTTAATGATGAAGGTGGCAGTAAACCTTAACCCAAGCTTGAAATTGTACCTTCAGAAAACACCTGGATGATATTACATTGCAGATGGCTTTTTTGTTAATATCCATGTTTTCTTCTGTGTCCTCTGTATGTTTTATAGCTTTCTCCATACTGAAACAAATGATTGCCAGAAAGGTGGGAAAAAGAAAAACTGCTAAAACAAGCAAAATAGTGACACGGTCTTTTTTTTTTTCAGGCAGATAACTCCAAAATGCTCCTGAATGAATAATTTGGCATTCCCTCAGTACAATCACTTACGCTCTCTTTGTCTTGTTTATTTGGATGACCAATCTGCTCTGCTTCTGTTGTCAATGACTCATGTGTCTTCCCTTGTCTCTCCCGTGGGTGTGTGTTTTGTCTGCAGGGAACATCTTTGTGGTGAGCCTGGCAGTGGCAGACCTTGTGGTGGCCATCTACCCGTACCCTCTGGTCCTCACCTCCATCTTCCACAATGGCTGGAACCTGGGTTACGTTCACTGCCAGATCAGCGGCTTCCTCATGGGCGTCAGCGTCATCGGCTCCATCTTCAACATCACCGGCATTGCCATCAATCGATACTGTTATATCTGCCACAGCCTCAAGTATGATAAACTGTACAGTGACAAAAACTCGGTCTGCTATGTGATGTTGATCTGGGCGCTGACTGTGGTCGCCATCGTGCCCAACCTGTTTGTGGGTTCACTTCAGTATGACCCACGGGTTTATTCCTGCACCTTTGAACAGTCAGCCAGCTCAGCGTACACTATCGCAGTGGTTTTCTTTCACTTCATTTTACCCATCATGATTGTCACATACTGCTACTTGCGTATTTGGATACTGGTCATTCAAGTGAGGAGACGGGTCAAGCCTGACAACCGGCCCAAAATAACGCCGCATGATGTTAGAAACTTTGTCACCATGTTTGTGGTGTTTGTGCTCTTTGCCGTTTGCTGGGCACCACTCAACTTCATCGGTCTGGCTGTAGCGATCAAACCAGAGGTGGTGATTCCCCTCATCCCTGAGTGGTTATTTGTGGCCAGCTACTTCATGGCCTACTTCAACAGCTGCCTTAATGCCATTGTGTATGGTGTGCTGAACCAGAATTTCCGGAGGGAGTACAAGCGCATTGTAGTGTCAGTGTGCACGGCACGCATCTTCTTCCAGGACAGCTCCAACGATGCAGGGGAGAGGCTAAAGAGTAAACCGTCACCGCTCATGACCAACAATAACCAGGTCAAGGTGGACTCTGTCTGATCCAGATCTCAGAGGACTACTTAGCGGACATGAACAGATATGCTGTGACTGAGAGTGAAAAAAAAGAAAAAACTAAAAGGCATAGTAAGAAAAATACCAAATTTAAATAGCTGTCCACAGACTGTCACATGGTGCTATCTGACCTCTGAACAATCACAGTAAAAACAGGGGTGCATATTATCTTTGTCTTTTATCAAGCACTTTTGTTTGACTCTGCAATACCTGTAGTACAGTAAATATATGATGTCTGTTTTGTTTTCATGTTTACAGTGATGATATTAATGTATCATGCATTATATAAGTATTTATTTTGTATGAAATGTCATGTAGTTATATAGTAAGATATATCAGGTTCCAGTTACATGAAGACAAAATTTTATCAGGCCAATAAAAAAGAAATCTACAAAACTTGGGTTGAAAATATAACCCCAAGTTTTTAAACAAAGTTAACTAATTTTAATAACCTCATTTGTGAGACTGTAACACTAAATGAGTGCAAGCAATGTGGGTTGCTGCTGTCTTATTATACCCTGCAATACAGTAGGTGGAATATATATTTTGTCTTTCTCTCTATCTCTTACTCTCTTTCTGTCTCTCTCTTTCTCTCTCTCCACCCTGTGAGCTCATTATAATGTATGCATGGATATGCAGGAATTGTTCATATGCCAAATAAAATCTATATTGATGGAGGATCTGCTTCAGTCCCGTCTCCAGCTTACTCACAAATGAAAGTTTTATTGCAATTCTGTCAATGCATTCAGTTAATCTGGTTTATAACTTTGGACTTTGTTATGCCTTCTCGCAGGCGACAGCTGTGGCCTGAGGCATTATGTTTTTGTGTTGTTCATCTCATTCTTGTGAACACAACATCTCAAGAACACCTACTAAAGTAAGAGATTTTGGTGATCAAATCAAATCAAACTTTATTTATTTAGCACTTTTCATGCATTAAAAATGCAGCACAAAGTGCTTCACAGAATAGAAACATACAAGAAAATATTACATATTGAAAACCCGCCCCTCCCACCCCCACATATAAACACACACACACACACACACACGGTCAATATAGTCAAAAACATCAAAGGTCAAGGTCAATGTGACCTTCCATCTGTCTCATTCTCTTTAACTTTATATCTCACAACAGCCTTGAGGGAATTTCTTCAAATTTGGCAAAACATCCACTTGGACTCAGAAATTAAATGATAAGATTTTGGTAGTCAAAGGCCAAGGTCACTGTGACCTTGCAACCATCTCATTCTTATAAATGCAATATCTCAAGAATGCCTTGAGGGAATTTCTTCAAATTTCGCACAAACCTTTACTCAGACTGAAGAATAAACTGATTAGAATTTGGTGGTCATATGTCAAGGTCAGTGTGACCGCACAAAACATGTTTTTGGCCATAATAAATAATAACAATTTAATAATTATTTAATAATAATAATTCAATTTAATGATGAAGGGGTGAAATTATGTATCCAAAACATCAATGGTCAACCTCACTGTGACATCATCATATTTTGTATAATACACTTTTCTGGCCGTTATGCAATGTCAAATCAAGGGAGACATTTGGTCAGATACTGAATTGGTGACATTAATCTTGAGTGTCTTTAAACTGTGCTGATTGTGTTGATCTTCTGTGCTGCCAGGGTAAGCTATGTATGAAGCATCCATGTTTTCACAGACATGGATGTAAACTGTGAGACAAATGTGACTGGTGTGTGGAGGCATACAACCAAGGGGCGGTATTTCTAGTTATAGCATCATTCCTGTTTATTACAATAGTCATACACTCCCCCAAAGATATTGCTGAGTTCTCAATTTAAAGGAAAACTGTATGCAAAACAACCACAGCTGGTACATAAGGTCAACTTGAAACCAGTGAGTTGGCCTCTAAACTGTGATGGAAGTTTACAAAGCACAGCTTAGATAATAATTTTACTATTCCCCTTTGTTTTTCTCTTCAAAATATGTTTGGCTAACATTTGGGTTTGTTTAAAACCTGTATGATTGTTTGACTGCTTGTGTTTTGTGTGCCAACTGACTGTTTTTTACCAATGAAGCTACCCAGAACCGGTAGGAACGAAAGCCCAAACTATGAAAATAAGACCCAAGATGTTAATATTTTGGAATCATCCTGTAATCAGTGTGGCTTGTTTTCAAAAATGTATCAAGGTTTTGTACAAATACCCCAAAATGTATACTCAGTCACCAGTTTGCTGGCTGCACCAAGCTAAAAGTATTGCAGCTTGAAGAGGTGTTTCTACTGTTTAGTCTAATCTTATTGCAGCCCTGTCTCCTAGAAATTACATTTGTAAATTGTTAATTATGTTGTTGTGGGAACATAATTGCTGCCTGGTTTATGTTCAGAGACAACGTATCCTCATAGAACTCTTTGTATGATATCCTACGAAAAGGCGCACACGCAGGTATGATATCCTACCAATTAGTGCCCCACCAATGATGCTACGTCCTAAATGAAAAGTTGTGTATTTAACATAAAGTTAGGGAGCTTAGATTTAGACAAATAACTTTACTGTAGCTAGATATAGGGAAAGAAAACATGTTAACAACATACCTTCAAATGACCTAAAGTTCACTCAAAGTCCACAGGGTTCTTAACACCAATCTCCCAGGGGAATGTATTGGAAGAAAGTCCTGTGTTTTGTTAACCATCCACCACTCCAACCTGCCTCCTTGCTTGACAGCTTGTAAATACTTCCTTCTTTAATTCCATCAGCGCATTCATCATGTGATTGCAGCCTTCAAAAATACATGGGCCATGCATGAATTACTGTTTCTGCTTATTAATTTCTGTTGTCATTTTCAGCTGTAACTGTAATGTTTATAGATATATAGTTAAACACATTGGTCTGACCTATCTGACATTGCTGCTGTGCTTATTATATGTACTGTGTTGCTTTACTATTATCTTAAATAACCCAAATCCGGCACGGAAGCAAAGCAACATACTGCTGTGGACGTATTTTAGCCACCTAAAAAAAATCAATATCAGTTTGTGTACACTGTATTTGAGTACTTGCTCCACTTACCATACACACAAACCAATTGATGTTGACCAGCAACTTCAGTGTTCTTTGAAGTAAAATTGGGCCTACTGTTTTTGTCAGTGAAGTCTGATAGCTTTGATATAACAGCTTTAGTTTCCTAATGGCTGTCTAGCAGCAAGGTAAGGCAGTTAAAATATTCTAAATACACCTAAATTGATATTGATATTTATGGTGGGCCCTTTTTAGGTGGCTAAAACCTAATAAATTAAAGCACCATTTGCAAAGCACTGTTTTATTTTACGAACGTGACGCAAGGCTTTTCTACCCGAAAGTTACTATAAATAAACATTGTGTTTTGGTCTATCAGGGATACAATTCAATGGCACCTCATACTACAGACTCCAAAATGGCAATAGAGTTAGTTTAATCAGCTCTAGATTCATATTTTGGCCAAAGATCGACTATGAGAGTCTTGATTTAAAAAATGCTTGAATGATGTGACTTTATCCAAAATTGAGCACAACAAAAATATGACAGGGCTTTATACTGTATATAAGGCTTTTTTCCCCCTCTTTCTTTCATGTGTGTGGTAGTTCTGACACTATCAAGTTCTGTCTGTAAACAAATTTCAAGGTGATCATATAAGAAGTGTTTGTAGGCACCAGTGTCCTTCACAGTGTGAAGGACTCTGCAGTGCATAAGAGGCAGGCACTGTATAGCCTACTGTATATAATTGCTTGCATGTGTGTTGCATAGCGTGCGTGGGCAACCCGGTTAGTGGAACACAGACAAAGGCATCTGGCATCACAGAGGAGAATGGCTCAACTATGCATTTGAAATCCACTTGGCTTACATAACGGCCGCTGACCATCATCCTCAAAGCAAAAGCTGAAAGAGCCAGCTCCCAGCAGACTCCCTGCCCCCTTCTCTATCTGTTTAATCCCAAGAGCTGTGTGTGGTAGGAACGGGCTGAATGGGTTGTGGATGAGCAAATGTAAAAAATCCCAGGGATTTACACTGGCCTCAAACAGAGTTATACTGTAATCTGGGCCCAAAGATTTTTATAGCCCAGGATGTACAACAATAAAGAAGACAAAAGCCAGGTGTTACATGACCAATGGCACTGATTTAGGCCCATCTTCCATTACTGATTCAATACCAGGAGAAAAAATAGAATGTGTCCTTTACTGTAACAAGACCATAGATCAAAGCTCGAGCAGAGCATGTCTTCCAAAAAGCAGAACACGGTAAAGCCCTCACTGGCCTCAGTAAAGCTCTGCAATCTGTGAGAACATGAAAGATCTCAATTTCTTGAAAAATGTTGTTGGCAGAAAAAAAGAATATTTATACATGGAACACATCTAGTCAGTGTGCACTCACCACATTATCTGTCAAGTAGGCTTAATGTCCATGAGTGGTACTGTGTATAAAACCTAATGTATTTATTATTAAAGGGTCAGTTAACTGAAAACACAAAAAGAACACAAAACATGTGCTCTACATGTCTGTCTCTCTACGTTTGGCAGTCACACTTACTTCAAAAACAAAACAAAACAAAAAAAGTCTATGATGAGGTCTGATTAACCAGGGCATTGTTTCATGACTACATTACACAAGAGTGAGTGGGAAAATATGTTCATTTGAGCTTCTAGAGTCACTCTTGACTTTGAGAACACATAAACCCTGTTTCCACTGAGCAGTACGGTTCAGCGCAGTTCAGAACGTTTTCTTTCAGTTTCAGCTGTGAAAAGTTGTGGATGGTGTCACGAACCGGCCGCACGGCCATGACAAAGAGGGAGACACATACACAAGGAAAGCCAATTAAAGGATTTTATTTGCTAAAGAATAAACATAAGAAAAAGAACCTAACTAAACATGGTATTTGCAATCAGTAAAGTCAGTGGTGTGAGTGAGGGCATGAGTGAAACAATGTATGTGTGTGATGTTGTAGGGTGCAGAAACTAAGATAAAACCAAACCCAAAACAAAATGCTGCCTCAGGAAGGAGAAGAGAAAGAGCAGTGAGCAACCAGAGCTTTTAAAAGCTCACTGAACTCAGGAGCTGCCACTTCCCTGATTACCCGCAGCCACGCCCACTGCTACCTGCAAGGGAGAACACAACAAGGCAGGCAGGGCAGAGAGGGTCGTCACAGATGGTACCAATGGAACCGTTCTGTACTGTCCCCATTTTTGGTCCCCCCTCTGTTGGGGTACCTAGCACACAGATCTGGTACCAAAAGGTGGACGGTCACTCCTGGCTGGTTTTGAGGCTCATGTAATCACTGTTCATACCATGGAGAGTTTTATTAGTAGACTAACTATAAAATGAAAGGATGTTTTACTGCCTCTTGCAGCAGCTGGAGTCTGTGTAAAAAGTCATTTAATTCACCGGGCTGACTGCCGGTGACTTTTAAGGTGGAGCGTTAACTTGTAATGTTACTCAATGCATGAGTTGATGTGAACACATCTCAAAATTCACTGACAACTTTGACCATCACTTTAGTTTTTATATGACATAAACTCGTTGTAATGAGTGGATCTTCAAGTGTTTATATTTATTAATTTCTACCAGGTTATGTGAACTGCACATATATTCTGATCCTCACGCCCACCCCGCCCACATGAAAGAGTATTGTTTGTGGTGGAAACACTGGAGTCTAGGTACCATGTCTGAAGGGTTACTTT